ATAAATTTTGTCTTTTTCTTAAATTTCCATTTTTTTTTATCATTTCACATAAACCAAGGCAACAAAGCCTCTAAGACGCGGGGGTTACTGAGTGTGAAAGAATATAAGAAAAAGAAAAACATTATTAAGGAGGGAAAGCAATAAAAGAATATAGTCTCTTTCCATCACATAGAACTGTTGCAAGACTGCCTCTACTTTTTCTATGTGCCATGTCTCATCAGGACGTTGACGATCATGGCTCTCTACAATTTCCTGTCCTTTGTAACTCCTTAATAATTTTTGTTTTTTGCTATCTCCCCTTGTTCCGCCATCGATTTACTCAAACTCGCTAGGTAGGTTATACGTTATTCTCTTTTGTCCTCTTTGGCTTCAGTCTGAACTGTGAGTATAAATACCCCAAGCCGTCTTTCCTCATTATATACCCTAGAAATTTTAAGTCAAATGTCCTTTTTGTTTCAATTTTCTCTAAAACATCGTAGTTGCTCACATGTTCAGTTCATGGTATTCTCAACATCCTTCTGTAGAGCCACATTTCTGTTACTCAAAGTCTCCCCTTTATCTTTGAGGGGGCTTGTCAAGCTTTCGTCACCATATGAGGGAACTGATATTACGTAACAGTTCAGTAAAAAATATAAAAAGATTGTTTAGAATTGTACTTTGCTTGGCAGTAACTTGTTACCGACATGTTTTATTTAAAAAAAAATAATGATAATTTACATTCACCTCCAACACCAATAAGCACAAGGAAGTAGGAAAAAGATTTAAATTTTTATTTTTGAATTCTACATTCTGATTACCAGCTACGAAAAACTTTGGCTCTGATCAAAAATTAAATGATGAAAAAGATATATTCCTCTTTCGCTATTAAGTCAAGAATGTCAAGGTAAGAACTTACATTGATTTTTAAAATAATAATAATATTAATTTGTTATAACTCTAAACGTTATATTAAGTGGGTACACGAATTTGAGAAGACATTTAGTTTTTTAACAGTGAAGGTAATGTCTACCGATTACAAGATCGAATGACTTAATAGAGAAAACATGATTATCGAGACGTACATTTTCTTTAATAAGACTTTCGATATCTAGGCAGTCAGACATTAATTTCACTGTTTTAGAAAACAATCATTAAATAAAATGTTGGAACTATTCTACTCCTCGATCTCTTTAGCTCTAAGTTGAAATCATGATCCTTCTTCCTGTTGTGATATGATCCAATTTTCCTTTCTATTGTTCCCGCTTTTTTAAACTTATTCACCATTCTCTTGATGTTCCTTGAACGGACATTGATGATGGAAGCCAGAGTATGAATGTTGGTACTATTACTGAAGGCCTGAATTACCTCTTTCGTCTCACAATTGCTCAGTTGGTACGACATAGTGGGGCTGACACAAAATGATTTTAACCACTTTTCGTTCTAGCTGAATATCTCAAATGGTTTTGCAGTGATTCTTACGAAATAAGATATCAAGCTTGGCTTATACATACATACATACACACACACACACACACACACACACAGATATATATATATATATATATATATATATATATATATATATATATATATATATATAAGAAGAACAGATGCAGAAAATTTCTATTGTTCGTATACATTTACCTTTAAAAATGTTTCTCCTCCTTTAACTTTCGCAACAGAGGTAACACTTTGATTTTAAATTTTCTTAAAAATCATTTACTGAAAAGTTCTCAGGCCAACCATGAAGTCTGACCTGTGAGTATTAAATAAATGCTTTAAATTAATAATTTACCATCGCCTGAAGAAGTACACTCAAAGTATTGAAACATGAAAACTTTTGTGTAGCAATTTCAACATGTTTTTATTATGATGTCTTATAATAATAATAATAATAATATATATATATATATATATATATATATATATATATATATATATTTCTTATATACATTGTATTTTATATATATATATATTTTATTTTATATGTGCAGTACTTAGTGGATTAGACTCTACTTTGAACAATAAGTATGTATTTATCTCTAAATTAAAATGGTGATCTCTCTTGCTGTTGTGACCTCCTGATCCAGTTTTCCTTTCTACTGTTCCCTCTTTTTTAAACTTATTCACCGTTCTCTTGATGGCTCTTGAATGAATTTTGAAGATGGAAGCCAGAGTATGAATGTTGGTACCATTATTGAAGGCCTGAATGATCTTTTTCCTCTCACCATTGCTCATTTCGGAATATATTGGGGCTATTCCTAACCCACACACTAAAACAAGAACAAGACTCCATATAAACATATGTCCCCAAATCCTTCGTTTTTTGCGATACGGATGCAGAAGATGCTTTTTAAGTACCTTCCATGCGGTACTATGAGAGGTACGACCTGCTGTGGACTCTTGACGTGTTCTTACCGAACCATGAACTACACAAAGAACATGGCGGTACATCTCGCACTGTAACACTATAGTATGAAAACAAAACACGTACTACAACATAATGTAAGGCAGCTGTCTATATTTATGTGATGAGGTGTTGTAACATTGTTGGGACTGTTGTTCTCATCTTTATTGTCATATTCACGATGTTTCGGTCGTTGTATGCTCCGACCTCCTTCAGATGTTATGTGTTGTAATTTCGAATCGAACCCTTTATTTACTCCATGGGGAGTATATTGTTCTAATTCCACGTGCCATGCCTTTTACCTTTTCATGGATAATTCTGTTTCGGTTAACGGACTTTAGTAACTCAACTCTTTGTGTCAAGTCACTTTTTGGATTATTTCAAACAACGCTTTTATCCACTGGGACATGTGGAACTAGAAAAATCTACCCCCGTGGACTAAATAAATGGTTCAGTTTGAAATTCTAGTCTATATCACCTGAAGAAGGCCGGAGCGTAGGACGATCGAAACGTCGTGAATATGACAATAAAGACGAGGAAAACAGTCCGAATTATGTAAATAGTGTAAATGCAAGGCAAATACTTTTTGCAGTGGTTAAGTCTTTTGCGTTCACTCTCGCATTTTGGGAAAACATGAATTCATCTCTTCTGCCCACCCCCATATACGGGTTAAATAACAGCGTAGAGTGAATTCTGTCTTGGGTAGCAGCAAGTCTAAAAAGACTTCAACGCCGTGGAGCAAGCAACGGGGGCCCACTCCGATATCTTTCCCAAGAACTCATGGTATTTAACAGATATTTAAAAAATATATAGTTGTATGATCATTTACGGCTTGAAAGGACACGGCATTAAAATGCTAGTAAGATTAGTGAAAGTCACTATGTAATAGTAATAAAAATTAATGTGATGAAATTGTACCTTATTTGTTATGGTAAACACAATGAACACCTAATTTAGAGCCGTGGTTAGCATACTAAATCACAACAAACCTCTATTTATGAGTTCGTTCCTCACGAGAAGCTGCATGTATTTGACCTTGTGCCAAAGTTAGTTTAATCCAACAAATGCTCAAAGTAATAGTAAAAATAATAAAAACAAAATGTATAAATTTCAATAATGTATTAGCTTTAGCAAACCCATTAATTAAAAAGAATGCCTGACGGGATTTATTTATTTTTTGTCCACAGAACAATATCAGAGGATAATAAGCGCATTAGACGCTGAATTTGATAAAACTGGTTATAGCGTTCAAGGAAGAAAGGCCAGAGTTTTGGCTTCTTGTTTAAAGGCTTTTAGAGATCAGAGAAAGAGGGCGAAACATTACAAAGTCGGGCAGTTTTCATCAAGAGGACTACGCTCAACGTGTTAATAATCAATTTTTTAGGTTTCATTAAGGGAATTAATTATTTTAAAAGGAAAGACAACTGTATTCGGCAGATGTGCACTCGACAGAAATATTAACCTCTATATCCCTCCCCCCTCTCTCTCTCTCTCTCTTCTCTCTCTCCATCTTTCTCTCGGCTTACGGCCTTATCATATTCTTGAACGATCACCAAAGTTAAGCAACGTCGTATCTGATCAATACCTGGATGAGTGACCGCTTCGGAATACCAGGGGCTGTACGCTTGGAAAGCCATGATAAAAAAAAAAAAAAACAAAAACAAAACAAACAAACAAACAAACAAAAGACACTCTACTATCTTTCTCAAGAAGGAATGGCAGTTAAAATATAATAAAGAAAAAGAATGTGTGGAGGGTCATGATCGGAAAAGACTCCCCCCCCCACTTTCTCAAAAAAACATCCCAGTTAATAGATAAAAAAGAAAAGTGAATTTGTGGATACTCCTCAACGGAAAGGAAGAAAAAACTATGTTTCTCAAGAAGAAGTTGCAATTAATAGATAAAAAAGAAAAGAAGGTGTGGAGAGCCATGATTGCCTCCATCCAGAGGAAACTTTGCATTATAAGATAACTACTCTAGTTGTATGTAGATTATGTAGAGATTTTTTTTTTTTAAGACGTACTTTTTAAGGCTTACGGACACATCAAGTTGAAACATCGCTTCCCTTATGATTACCGAAGTCAAGCAAGGTCGAGCTTGGCCAGTACCTAGATGGGTGACCACTTGGGAATACCAGGTACTGTAAAGTTGAATGTGCGAGTGGTGTGATGGATAATGGCTCGGAATTCTTCATAGGAAGCCGAGTTCCAATTCCAGGTTCGTTGTATTCACTTAGGCGTAAATACTATTGGGAATCCACGTATTCTCCCCCCGACCATGGGTTAAATAGTAAGGCTTGTATTACTAAAACCATAATTACCTCCCAAAAAATAAAAAATAAAATTGCGTACAAGTAACCCATAGAGATTGATAAGACGCTAAATACAAAAACAAACAAAAACGAAACGTACTTTTCTTTTTATGCGTTTTTTTTCTTTTGCCCGGCGAGCGGACATTTTGAAAGAAAACCGGAAGTGGAAATTAGTGGAGACAATTCACTCATCGCAACTCCATTTTTGTCTGTCGAGTTTACCGGTTTATCGATAATCTAGAACGGAATACAGAATATCATTTTTGATCAGTTGTTAGCTGATCAGATACGATTTCTGCACCGATGCGCATGCGTGATCATGATGATGTTGGAAAGGGAGAAATAAGAAAAGAAAATGCCCGGAAAGAAGCCCCCAAAAATATTAAAAGGTAATAAAGATAAAAACAGAATAGTCGAGAAAGGCAAAGTAAAGTTAAAAAGAGAAAAAAAAAGACTCGTTACATTGATAGTGTTAATACAATAATACCACGTTTATGTCTGATAAGGAAGAAAGCGAGAAAATATGACAAACCCTCAAATTCAAGAAGACAGAAAATATGGTCATCAAAAAGAGGAAAAGTTTCGTGTTTTAAGCTGCGTGTCACATCAAGCAAGTACAGAAGTTTAAATATCTTGGAAGTGTTTTAACAGAGGATGGAAAATATGACACCGAGATCCGAAGACGCATTGGATTAGCAGAAGCCGATTTCCATAAGCTAAGTAAATTGCCGAAAAACATTTTTAAAAAATCGTTAGAATCAAAGAAAAGTGTGATGTACTGTTACGTAATATTCGTCCTCTTATATGGCAGAGAATGCTGGACGATCTCCCCACGGATGAAGAGAAAACCGGTAGGAGCAGAAATGTGGCTCTACAGAAGGATACTGAGAATTCAATGAACGCATTAAAAAAAGTAACAAAAAAGTTTAAAACAAATAGTAGCAAAAAGAACGCTCAGATTCGGAATAACATCAGTTATAAATTTATTTATATTCGGCTGATTTTATAGAGTTCCTTTCCTGAAGAAGAACCCAATTGAAAATGAAACAAATGATTGGCGAAGATTCAAATGTTCATTATTAAAATGTCTGTCAGTAGATAAAGAATGACTCCAGTGCATACACAAAAACAGAAAGAGAATATGGCAAGAATTCGTTTTCTTGCTGGAGTTATTTAACTTATACAGCAAGACGATCCAAAAATAACGACTCACTCAGTCAGGATCTTTTAGAAAATAGGTTTATCAACAAGAGGAAGAAAAAATAACAGGATGCGTGTTATAAATTGGAGATGTACAGAAGTTTAAATATCTTAGAACTGTTTTAACGGAGGATGGAAAATATGACGCCGAGAACCAAACATTCATTGGACTAGCGAAAGAAGCATGCAAAAAGCTAAGTTAATTGTTGAAAGTCACTAATAAATTCTTTAGAAACAAAAAAAAAGTGCGCTGTACTGTTATGTGACATTTGTCCTCTAATATGGCAGCGAATGGTGGACAATCTCTCCACGGATGAAGAGGATACTAAAATTCTCAGTAACCTCTTCTGAAGTCATTCTTTATCTACTGACAGACATTTTAATAATGAATATTTGAATCTTCGCCAATCATTTGCTTCATTTTCAATTGGGTTCTTCTTCAGGAAAGGAACTCTACAAAATCAGCAGAATAACAATAAAATTTATAACTGTTATTCCGATTCTGGGCGTTTTTTTTTTTTTTGTTTTTTGTTTGTTTTTTTTGTTTTTTTGTTACTAGTTGCTTTAAGACTTTCTTGTTGCTTAGTCTCTACATTCATCGAATTCTCAATATCCTCTTCATCCGTTGAGAGATTGTCCAGCATTTGCTGCCATATAAGAGGACGAATGTCACTTAACAATGCAACGAACTTTGTTTCTAAAGAATATTTTAATGATTTTCAGCAATTAACTAGTCCAATGAATGATTGGTTTTCGGTGTCATATTTTCCATCCTCCGTTAGAACATTTCTCAGATATTTAAACTTCTGTACATCTCCATTTTGTAACTCGCATCCTGTTTTTTTTTCTTCCTCTTGTTGATAAACCTATTTTCTAAAAGATCCTGACTGGGTCGTTATTTTGATATCGTCTTGTTGTATAAGTTAAATAAGTCCAGTAAGAAAACGAATCCTTGTCATATTCTCTTTCTGTTTTTGCGTATGCACTGAAGTCATTCTTTATCTACTGACAGACATTTTAATAATGAACATTTGAATCTTCGCCAATCATTTGCTTCATTTTCAATTGGGTTCTTATTCAGGAAAGAAACTCTATAAAATCAGCCTAATATTAATAAATTTATAACTGATATTATTCCGAATCTGGGCGTTTTTTTTTTTTTTTTTTTTGTTACTATTGCTTTAAGACTTTCTCGTTGCTTACTCACTCCGTTCATGAAATTCTCAGTATCCTTCTGTAGAACCAAATTTCTGTTGCCGCCAGTTTTCTCTTCATCCGCTGTTATATAAGAGGACGAACATCACATAAGAATGCAGCACATTTTACTTTAGTTCTAACGAAAAATTTTCATGTTTTAGCCTTTGGAATGCTTCTTTCGCTCGTCCAATGCGTCTTCGGATCTCGGTGTCACATTTTCCATCCTCTGTTAAAACACTTCCCAGATATTTAAACTTCTGTACTTGCTTGATGTGACATCTTTAATTTGAAACACGAAACTTTTCCTCTTTTTGATGATCATATTTTCTGTCTTCTTGAAGGTGAGAGTTAGTCGTATTTTCTCGCTTTCTTCCTTAAAAGCTATAAGCGTTGTATTATTGTATTAACACCATCAACAGAACGAGTCTTTTTTTTTTCCTTTTTAACTTTACTTTGCCTTTCTCGACTATTCTGTTTTTATCTTTATTACCTTTTAATATTTTTGGGGGCTTCTTTCCGGGCATTTTCTTTTCTTATTTCTCCCTTTCCAACATCATTATGATCACGCATGCGCATCGGTGCAGAAATCGTATCTGATCAGCTAACAACTGATCAAAAATGATATTCTGTATTCCGTTCTAGATTATCGATAAACCGGTAAACTCGACAGACAAAAATGGAGTTGCGATGAGTGAATTGTCTCCACTAATTTCCACTTCCGGTTTTCTTTCAAAATGTCCGCTCGCCGAGCAAAAAAGAATGAAAAAGAAAGAAAACGCATAGAAAGAAAAGTACATTTTGTTTTTGTTTGTTTTTTTGTTTTCAGCGGCTTTGTTTTTTTTTTTTTTTTTTTTTTTTTGTTTTTGTTTTTTTTGTTAGTTTTTAGCGGCTTATCAACCTCTATGGGTTATTTGTACGCAATTTTATTTTTTATTTTTTGGGAGGTAATAATGGTTTTTGCTAATACAACTCTTACTATTTAACCCATAGTTGTGGGAGGATAGGTGCATTTATACATTTCCCAATGGTATTTGCACATAAGTGAATATAACAAACCCAAATGGAATTAGAACTCAGCTCTCCTATTAACAATCCCAAGCCGTTATCCACCATATCACCAGTACATCCAAATTCACACAACCTGGTATTCCTATGAGGTCATGTTGTTCATGATGACGGTCGTCTTTGAGTATAGAATCCAGAGGTTAGCAGAATAGAAGACAGTAGGGAATCGTATTTCAGGTTAGCAGTGGATATTTTGGTAAAAGTAGCAGAGCGTAGTTCAGTAGTTCTTCCTTCTGTTCTTTCGCCTGACAAGTTGGCACTGGACATTCGGATAGAGTAAACAAAATGGCCGCCTTTATACATGACAGATTGAATATTCTACATCTTCTGATTGGTTAATCTTCTATTGGTGGACTATAAAGTGAGTCAAGTCATTTTGACTAGTTCACTAGTACATACATACCCAAAAAAACTGCAACAGGTCACCTATCTAGACACTGAGAAGACTTGAAGTTGCTTAACGTAATCGTACGAGAACAGGTGTTTCAATGTATTTTTCCATAACCCCAGGAAAGTACGTCTTAAAAAAAATATATGCATTGGATATATAGAAGTATCTTAAAATGCATTTTTTTTTTCATGTTGAAGGCGATCATGGCTCTCCAGAGGTTCCTTTTCTTTTTTTATTTGTTAACTGCCATATTTCTTTAAAAAAACATACTGGTGTCTTTTCCGATTTATTTAGTTTATCTACAAATTCAGGTAAATCAGTGTCACGGGGATACATTAAAAGAGCATTGTCAATATATCAGATGTATGTTGGCCGTTTAGGTAAAATATTTTTAAAAGGACCAGATACATGGCATCACTGCGCTTACGAACGATTCCATTCCATATCTGTTTTTATTTCTCAAATGAGGTACTGTAAATATTTACCCTTCTCACATTGTTCGGACTATTGTCCTCATCTTTGTCGTCATATTCCTGACGTTTCGGCCGTTGTACGCTCCGCCCTTCTTCACAGTAGAGGCGAACAAAAAACTTGGCGAGTGGAGTTACTAAAGGGAAATAACTGAAAATGAGATAGCCGGAAGAGACATAGCACGTGGAACTAGAACAGTCTACCCCAAGAGCGAGAGATAAACAAATCTCCTTGTGTCACCAAAGAGGAACTGAAGGCAAGGATTAAACAAGGTAGGATATTCACGTCTGGGGCCGTGGTTTAAAAAGAAGAGATACAGAATGTTCAAGATATTTTTGTTCGTCTGGAATATATCAGTTGAGATGCCATTGTCGATTTTGTTAAATAAATTTACTGGAATAATTTAATATTACAAGATATTTACACAATATTTCAATGTTGGTGGAAGATGTTCTGTAGAATGGGTTGAAAATGAGATGTCAGTGTGATTTCCATTTTTTCGTAATTTAGACGATAATTTATCCATTGCACCCTGTAGTGATCCTTCTCAATAACATCCAACAATCCATTGATTTTGTTAATTTTTATTTTACCTCAGCGGGTTCAATTTCTAACATGGTGGTTTTAATTACTTCCGTAGGTCTTCTTTGCTCTAATATTGTTTGTAACCGCCATATAATTTCATCTTCACAATAGTTCATAGATTTTTGATCGGATTCAGATCGAGGCTGGCTGGTGGTCATTCCATTATCTTCTCTTCTGTAAACATTTTACGCTCAAAAAATTCATGGGTAACCTTAGATACACGAGAAAAGTCATTGTTGTGCTTAAATACACAAATCACTTTGAAACTGCGATTCTGGGACTTGTACCATTCAAAGAAATCCCTTTCCATGTAATCGCAATAGTTAGCACTGTTCAGTTTAAATTCTTCATCGAATTTTGAATAGTTTAATTAAGGTTGAGTCGAAAATTCTAGCCCATATTATCACGCTGACGTCTCCTTGCTGCCTTCTTTTAGCCACAGGTGCATTTGTATTAAATAAAATCATTCTTTTGGTCCATAAATCTGGTCCATCGAGCGCCACCCGAGTTTCTTCCGTGAAAATTACTTTAGAAAAGTCAATTTTCATATATTTCTTCCCAAATTTGACGCTTAAAATGTTTTTGCTTTACTGAACTGAGTTTACCTCAGAGATTTTTTCACAGAGAGCCTAATTTGCAAAGTACTCTAAACCTTTTGCCCTTCTTGACTTCTTCAATTCAAGTCTGTCCAAAGATCTGAGCACTCATCAAAAGTGGTTGTTTCGCTATAACTCGCTTTAGTTTACGTTCCTCCCCCCCCCCTCGGGAAAACAAGTTCATAAACCCCTTTTCTTTGCTTCTAGTTCTCAACTTACTTATATTTTCAACAGCCTCCTTTATCATTGAACTAGCAGTAGAGCCCGGCGTTGCCCGGGGATGTAACAGTAAGAGATAGATCAAGTATCGACCATCATAAAGACTGAAAAATAAAATTGACAAAGATTATTGTTTAAGGTTGACGGATATACATGTCTTAATTAGTTTTTTTTGTTTTGTTTTTTTATGAATTGGTCAAACCCAAACTTAAACAAAAACATTGTTTCAATCGTTATGAGTCTCTACCGATTGAATAGAATTTTATTATAAACAATTGTCTTGTAAATGGAATTTTTAAAGCATTCTGAATGTAAAAATAAAGAAAAAAGTGTGCAAGTTTTGTTGAAATCGGTTGAAAAATGTAGGAAATCCGATCCCATATATAAATGAACACACACACACACACACACACACACACACACAAACAAGGCACATTGGAAACAGATGAATTTTGTTAGAAACAAAGAAAAGTAAACTGGACTGTTACTTAATATCCTTCCTTCTATAACGAATGCTGGACAATCTTCTCATAGACGAAGAGACTTGAAGCAAGAGAAATGGGTTTCTAGAGAAGGATGCTGCGAATCACAGGGGCTGGATACGATTTGGAATTAGAAAAAACGTTTACATTTTTTAAGGTACATAATGAGAAAAGAGGGATTACAAAATTTGGCAAGAGGCTCAGAAGAAAGTCTTTCTGTCTTTCTGTCTTTCTCTATTTCTTTCTGCCTTTCTTTCTTTCTTTCTTTCTTTCTTTCTGCCTTTCTGTCTTTCTCTCTTTCTGTCTTTCTATCTTTCTGTCTTTCTTTCTTTCTGTCTTTCTTTCTTTCTGTCTTTCTCTCTTTCTGCCTTTCTGCCTTTCTGTGTTTCTGTCTTTCTCTCTTTCTGCCTTTCTTTCTTTCTCTCTGTCTTTCTTTCTGTCTTTCTGTCTTTCTTTCTCTCTGTCTTTCTGTCTTTCTTTCTATCTGTCTTTCTTTCTTTCTGTCTTTCTGTCTTTCTCCCTTTCTGTCTTTCTGTTTTTCTCCCTTTCTTTCTTTCTTTCTTTCTTTCTTTCTTTCTTTCTTTCTGTATTTCTCTCTTTCTGTATTTCTGCCTTTCTTTCTTTCTTTCTTTCTTTCTTTCTTTCTTTCTTTCTTTCTTTCTTTCTTTCTCTCTGCCTTTCTGTCTTTCATTCTCTCTGTCTTTCTTTCTTTCTTTCTGCCTTTCTGTCTTTCTGTCTTTCTGTTTGTCTCCCTTTCTGTCTTTCTTTCTTTCTGCCTTTCTGTCTTTCTCTCTTTCTGTTTTTCTTTATATCTTCCCTCTTCTTTTCCATCCTCTTCCATACTTTACCTTTTTTTCCATCACTTTCTTCTTTTCCACCCTTGTCTTTGTATGTTTTCTTTTTTTCCTCACCTTTCCTTCACTGTCTTTGCTTCTTTTCCTTCCTTTACTTTTTCCTCAATTTTTTTTATTTCTACTTTTTGTTCATTTTTCTCCTTCCTTCCCTCTCTTTTCCTCTCTCTCTTCTTTCCATGCTTTTCTCTATTTTGATATCTTTCTTTTCCTCTTTTCCTTCCTCTCTTTTCCAGTTTTTCTTTTCCTTTCCTTCTTTTTTTTTCTTTCTGTCTCTCATCTCTTCTTTTCTCTATTTTTTCCTATCTTCATTTTCGTTCTCCCCCCCTTTTCCTTTCTCTTATCTCTTCTTTTCTTTCATTCATATCTTTTTTTTCTTTCTCTACTAACATCTTTTCCGCCCTCCCCTGTATGATAACTGGCAGTGTCATACATTCAGCAACCATCAGAGTGTTATACAATATTATTACTCCTATGTGGCAGGGAATGCTAGACAATCTCCTCACAGATGAAGAAGAAACTTGAAACAGCAGAAATGAGGTTCTACCGAAAGATACTGAGCATACCGTGAACTGAATATGTGAGAAGTTTTAAAGAAAAAGGAAAAAAACAGACACTAATATTTAGAATCAGAAAGTGATAACTTAAATGTCTAGGGAACATAATGAGGAAAAAGGGCGTGGAGAATTTGACACTCACAGGAGATATTAAAGGCAAGACAGACAGAAGAAAGCAGCGGGTAACCTGCATAACGAGTTTGTGTAAATGGTTGACAAAACAGAGATTAGAAGAGATAGCAAAAAACATTGGTTTTTTTTTTTTAACTTGTTCGGGGTGAAATGATAAAAAGAAAGAGAAAACAAAAAGATAAAATTTATTAAGAGCTAAAAATAACAGGATGTTGTGGAGAGCCATGATCGCTCACACCCTGAAAAGACAAGGCACATAGAAGAACAATAAGAACGCGTTTGTGGAAGGGTTGTCAGTGATAGCTGAAACTCAAAACTTACTAAGAACTACAAAGAATAGGAAATCATGGAGAGCCTTGATCGTCCACGTCTTCTTAAGGTACTTAGAAGAAGACGAATGAGAACGAGATTGTGTAAATGGTTAATAGAACAGGGATTAACAGTAGTAACCAAAATACAAAACTTACCACGGCCTACAAAAGACAGGAAAATGTGGAGAGCCATGACCGTCCACGTTCTGAAGGGTCAAGGCACTTCTTAGAAGAAGAAGAATTAGCTTGTCTAAATGGTTGACAGAACAGGGATTAGCAGTGATCGCCAAAACACAAAACTTACTAAGAACTACAAAAGACAGGAAATTGTGGAGAGCCATGATCGTTCACGTCCTGAATGGACACGGCACTTCTTCTTAGAAGAAGAAGAAGAATTAGCTTGTCTAAATGGTTGACAGAACAGGGATTAGCAGTGATCGCCAAAACACAAAACTTACTAAGAACTACAAAATACAGGAAATTGTGGAGAGCTATGATCGTCCTCGTCTTGAAAAAGAAGGAAGAGAAGAAGGAGAAGAAAAAATAATAATATAGAAAAAAGCCAGTAGGACCCACTGCACTTAATTTTTTTTATACATGCACGTACCCGTTTGATCGAGGCAGTTGTCGGACAAGTGTGTAAGCGACATTATCATAAGTGCTTCATGTGCCTGAAAGCTTTGTCAAGTCAATCAAATTTGGATTTCACAAATGGCGGGTTTCATTTCTCTAAGTGGCAACTCCAAGGAACGGTGCATCAGGTTGTGCAATTGACGCCGAAGAAGCAGGAAATTGTCGTTAATTGAAAAATATTAAAGACAAAAAAAGAAAAGCTATTCTCTCGTCCACCAAGCCATTCCCCATTTTTTTTCATCGCATCCGAAATTCCTCCTTTTCATCCTACTCACATGTGTATACACATACATTGGCTTGCACATAGTCGCAGTGCTCAGTGTAGTGACAATGTCGATTCTGTTGTCGGTAGCCATTGTTATGTGAGTGTATGTTCGGCTTTTTGATTATATAAGAGTACTCTATTGTAAGTTCCTTTAAAAGTGTTTTATATGTATGAAAAGAATTGTACAACGATAATAATACCTATCAAAACATAGGATTAGTAGAATTTAAGGTATTTCAAAGCGAGCAAAAATTTTTATCAACGAGATACTCCGTAATAACTGGAGGAAAATAGTCAAATAATTAATAAAATCAAAATCATCTTATCTTTCGACTGGCTTCAAAGTTTCAATAACACATGTCAAGACCGTCAAAAGGTAAGTTGACTGAAATATTATTCTTTTTATATATATATATATATATATATATATATATATATGATAGATAGATTGGGAAATAAATAAAGGGAAAACGAAAAGGTATCAATGTGATCAGTCCGAAAATAATTTATTAATTGTTAATCACGAAACGGAAATGAAACACGGAGATTAATGTTATATATATATAACGTCAACAACAGACAGACTGTTTCGCAGCTCATCAGTGGAGCTAGACATCCGGCTGCCTGTAGCTAAGATCGAAACCCGACTGAATTGGTATCAGTCGGAGAGTCTAACCATTAAGCCGTCGGCGCACGAAAATGGATTTTTAGCGTATTTATTTATTTTTTTTTATATATTAATGTTTTGTATATATGTTATTTTCTATATATATATATATATATATATATATATATATATATATATATATATATATATATTATATATAATATATATAAATATATATAAAATTAATAAAAAAAACATATATAACATTTATATCAATGTTATATATATATATATATCATGATAAGCTATAATCTACAACTATTTAAATGTAATGTCAATTGACATCTCCAGTTACATTGTTCTATCCACTATCCTTCTCCTCATCCTTTCTTCTATCCTCCTATCTGCTCTCGCTCCAAATCTTCCTGCCTTGCTCGGGGCGTAATGCTTAATATATATATATATATATATATATATATATATATATATATATATATATATATATATATATCACAGTGAAAATTTAAAAGCAGCACCCCTCTGGGATTTCTTTTTAAAATATTTTGAGTTATTTTGAGGAAAAATAAATTAAAATGTTATATATGACACAAGACAGGCTGTCTTTTCATTGTGTCAAAGTGTCATTTTGTATATTTTGTGTTTTCCCCAGGAAAAGATAACTTAAATATTTGAAGAATGTGAGGTGTACTCACTTTAAATATTAATTGTATGTATATATATATATATATATATATATATATATATATATATATATATATATATATATATATATATATATATATATGGAGATTATATATATATATATATATATATATATATATATGAATATATATATATATATATATATATATATATATATATATATATATATATATATATATATATATATATATATATATATATATATGAATATGAAGCACGGAGATTAATTATTAACGATTAACGCACTGGTCTTCATTAATGAATGGAGCGCTCTGGCTGCTGGTGTTTATATACCATCGTATATAATACTTTAAATTTCCCTTCCTCTACTGTGCGCGGATAGCTTAGGGGTAGGATCACCAACTGATGTTAAATCGGTCGGGTTTCGATCCCGGCTTGAAGCAATCGGATGTTTAGCCAGACTGATGAGCTGTCTGTGATACACCAAAACAGGCTTGTATGTCGTTGACTATATATATATATATATATATTTGGTTGGATTGATATATACATCAACTAAATATGTTAGCTCTATCACTGATATTGAGCGCGTTCCAATAAAGTACAGCGAATATATAATATATAAACAATATATATAATAAATTTCATATATGTATATATTTATATTTATATACATACGCATTTCACACACACACATATGTACGCACATACATATATATATTGGGCAAAATAGAAAAGGTTTGGATTTCATCGGGCTAAATTTGTTTTGTTGGTGCGACTGCACAAGCACACGATCGGAGGATGCTGGGTATTTTTTTTAATCTAGCTGATGAAGTCCTAAAGGACGAAAAGTGTCACAAGTAAAGTTTTCCACTTCGTCATATATTTCCCCAATAATTTTCCACATATATAAAGATATATATCGTTATCTCATATATATATATATATATATATATATATATATATATATATATATATATGTGTTAAACCTTGTTGGGGTCAGAAATAAACACACGAAGAAAGGAATTGAGTTAAACAAATATATTAACAGAAGCTGTAATACAAACTATATAAAATGAGCAAGACTGTCAGAGCTAACTGCTGGAAACTACATTCACAAAAGGGCGCTACCTGCTCTTATTTATAGCTGGGAGAGTCCATGCGTGAATGGCTAAATTACCATAAATATATATATATATATATATATATATATATATATATATATATATATATATATTCCCTGACGATCCGCTAAGGAGAAACCGTGGTAGGTTTGTCTGGCTCTCTAGGTTTAACTAGGTCTGCTCTACTCATTGTATTGAGCACTTTATTTAATTATTTTGGGTACTCGCATCGTTTTTTTTTTTATTTGGGCCTTGGACTCGTATGCTGGACGATTATTTTCGGTTAACGTACATGTTCTTGGTTCTTTCTTTTTTTATACCATTTTTTCCCCTTTGGTGATGGCTTGTTTATTTGCAAATCAATATACCGAAAGTTGTACGAGCGAGTATAGTTTGTTATAGTTATAAGATTTCTATTAAATATATATATAAAATATATATAAAAAGCAGGATGTGTGTGTGTGTGTGTGTGTGTGTGTGTGTGTGTGTGTGACGAATGCACGGCCGCAATTTTGGACGGATTTGCACCAAAATTTACATGCACATGCTCCAAGTTAGCGGGAAGGCCAAGACATTTCCCTCCCATCGACAGTGGATATAATCGATTTTTTCATGCTTCTACGGCAGTTTTCATGTAGTTTGCGGCCATTTTCTACTGGCCAGAGTGAGAGCCAATAGCTGGCTTGCACGAATAGACAGGAAGATTCTATTGGCCAGCGTGAGAGCCAGCAGCTGCCTGCCACGAATGTTAACTAGCATGCTAGCATACAAAAAATCAATAGCTGCATTCGTCACAAGTAGGAAAAATTTAAATCTGCATGGCACTAAAGTGTCCTATTGGCTCATTCTCTTGCTTAAACTCAACGTCGATTCTGATTCCGCAGAACTGGGTTGGATGTGGAAAAGTATTTGTTGTTAACATTCTTTTTTCATTCGGTTTTTCCAGTTACGAATCCTTTTTTAAAGCTGATCGTTTTGTGTTCATTTTGTTTAGTTCTTTTTTCGTAACAGATTTAATGTTTAGTATAGAGCTTAGAAAAAATTCGCAGTGTGAGATAGGCAAGAAGTAAGGCATG